GTGTGTGTGTGTGTGTGTGTGTGTGTGTGTGTGTGTGTGTGTGTGTGCGAGGGAGAGAGAGTTAGAGCGGCTCCCTGCTGACAATTAGCACAATTAGCGTTGGGATTCAGACCTTGTGAGCTTTTAGCCGCTGCTCAGGTGGAAAGATCACATTAGGTAATCGGCCATGATAATCACCTGGGATCCCGAGTGTGTTCAGTAGGATGGATGGTGGGCGGAGGCTGAGTCTCCAACCAAACGTGAAAGCAGAAAAACAAAAGGCCAGCATCTCTTCACACCAGGCCAACCTTAGTTTCTTCCTGCTGTGTGTTTGAACTTGTGTGTGTGTAATAGAGTGGAGGGTTAGCTGAGTGACGGGTGAGTCTGTAACCAAATGAGAAACTTTCCTCACTGCAGGCAGACTCTTTCTTCCTTTCCTCCCGGTGTGCTTTTCTTTTATTCTTTGAGTGTGTATGTGTGATTGTGTATCGATGGAGAACGGCATTTTAATGAGCTTTTATCAAAATCTCTTGGTGCATCCAGAACTTCAGTAATGAGGTGCAGATGGTGTTTTTGGGGTTGAGCAGCAGCTCTGCTGTCGGTTCAGGCGGCTCATTACGGAGAATCAGACGGGAGCCTCAGTAAACACTGGGAACACTGGGAACCAGTAATCTCATGTTGACCCGATTAAGGTGATACCGCCAACTACTGCCAGGACTACGACGAGAAAGGGGCTGTCACATTAACCACTGCTGTGAGCAACGGGACTTTGTCCCCTCCCACAAAAACGGACAAGACGCCATCAATGAACTCACACAATGAACCTGATATTGATATAAATCACATTATGGCAGATGGGTGCTAAATTACATATCAAACAATCCAAATGAGGTTTAGTGCAACAAAAACGTTATTGTGATCTCAGAGCCAGGGATAAACATCTTCACATAACTTGTTTTGTCCAACAGATTAATATCTAACAATATTCCGACTCATCATTCATCGGCTCTAAATGAATGATTTAATAAATCTGTGAATGAATAAATGATTTATTGACTGAGTACATAGATAAACCAATCAGCTGACTTGTTTTGTACCATATGAAATGACAGTGAGTTAATAAATAGAGAGACTAAAGTGAATGAATGAGTCAGTGACGGAGTAAACGTCTTGTCTGCAGGCTGTGTGGTTACCCTCCATTCTATGACGAGAACGACTCCAAGCTGTTCGAACAGATCCTGAAAGCCGACTACGAGTTTGACGCGCCATACTGGGACGACATATCGGACTCAGGTGAGCCTTCCTCCTCCTCCTTCCTCCTCTTCTGCTCCCTTGACCACTTTTCCCTTTGTCCTCCTCCGTCCGCCACACATGGCTCACATTTACCACACACCACCTCTTCATCACAGCCTCTGACATCATCTGCCTGGAATGAATGTGTTTGGGAATGTGTGTGTTGGGTCATCAGTCACCACCACAGCTATGTGCAAAGCCTAGTGTGCGTGTTTGTGTTGATAAAATAAATAATAATAAAATAGTATTCATGTGCTGTCAGCTATTGATAACTGATATTTCATACACACATTCATGGTTACCAGAGGATGAATCCCTAATGACATTTTGAGATCCCCTGACTTTCCCTCCAGAGCCACAACATTGACATTTGTAGCTTTGATTAAAATGTCTGGATGGATTGCCGCTACATTTTGAACACACATTCATCTCGAAATTTTGATTGTCCAATACTTGCAAAAACTTGCAAAACGAAGGACATTCCCTTCAGCCACAGCTGTACTTAGTGCTCTAATTACCAAATGCTAGCCTGCTAACAAGCTACACTAGGTAAACATTCTACCCGCTGAACATCAGCATTGTGTTTGTGATCATGTTAGCATGATGACGTTAGCATGTAGCACAAAGCACTGCTGTGCATATGTACAGCCTCACAGAGCGGTTAGCATGGCTGAAGTCTCTGAGTCTTCTGAGACATTATTTTTTCTCAGCGGACGCTAACAAAAAGCATTTGCACAAGCAATCCAAACTGACTGAAATATCAAAGATCACCAGCGTCATTTGTGTCACGCATATCTTTTTTTTTTTTTTAAGCAGATTGCACAAGGAAATGTGTTTAAAGTCAGTACGGTGCTCGTGTGTCTGTAGTGTTGGCGTTTTATGGCCCTTGTGTTTCATTCAGCCAAGGATTTCATCGGCAGTCTGATGGAAAAAGATCCAGCCAAGCGTTTCACCTGTGATCAGGCACTCAGACACCCCTGGTGAGAAACGCACACACTCACAAGGGATGTCACACACAGGCTAACAAAAAGGCATAAAATCAATATAGATATTGATGTACCGTCAGAAGTGTTAACAGAGAATTTGTGTGCGTGTGTCAGGATCGCCGGTGATACAGCACTCTGCAAGAACATCCACGAGTCAGTCAGCCGACAGATCAAAAAGAACTTCGCCAAGAGCAAGTGGAGGGTAAGTTTTGCTTACTACGGTTTATTCTCTGTGGATTTGGCTCTATTGCAGCACGTTACTTCAGTACGACTCCTCAAACGATTGTCTGTGTTTTTTAGAAGATGAATCCCCTGTGTAGAAAAAAAACTTGGCCTGCCACATGTTCAGGAGTTAACCTTCATCATCCCCCTTTTCTTTTCCTGCTGCAGAGAGTAACCTGCAGACCTGAGACAAATTCCTCTTTCTTTAACAGCTGCTCCTCACACAGTATGTCATTTCCAGCTCTGTGTGTTAAAAGCACATCCAGCTTGTGTATGATTTGAACCTCAGATGTTTTTAATGGAAGATAACCTTCAACAGAAGGTTTTTTTTTTTTTTGCACTAGTGCCAGTTCATGAAAAGCAGATTCTGGTCTGCAAAGCCTTTTATGAAGAAGAAAAATCCCTTTTTTGATCTTTACAATGACATAATATTTAATTAAAAAAACCTTAAAATCCCCTCCTACTCATGAGACATCGGAAGTACAGCAAACTCACTTGAGGCGAAGTGAGAGCTCATCTTCCCATTTCCTACCTCTCTCCAGCAAGCGTTCAATGCCACCGCCGTGGTTCGCCACATGAGGCGGCTGCAGCTTGGCAGCAGCATGGGGAGCAGCATGGACGCCTCCAACCCGCCGACCAGGCCCAGCGAGACGCAGAGGCCGGCCCAGAGCCAGGAGGGCCAGATCCAGCCAGCCGAGAGCCAAATCACCGGCCAGACGGCGCTGAGCCAGAGCACCAGTGCGAACGCCAGCAAAACCTCCTCGACAGACAACAACTTAGCAGCTCCCCACAAGGAATGTGAGTATGAGTCAGTAGTATCAGTAGCACCAGAGAGTCAGGAGAACATATGTATTACACAAAAGTTACAGAATTGATAATACTCTAAACCACGATTGTGCAATCGTAGTGTAATCCTTGGAAATTTTACTCTGTTTGTAGATAAAGAATTTGGAGGGTGGCGTCCTTTCTTGTCAGTGTTTCCAAAACCAGAAAAGAGAAAACATCTATTGGATTAAACAATGTGTTTGTCTGCTCCAACGAAAGCTGCAAATGTTAGCAAGTCCGGCTAACTAGGTTACCTACATACTAACACAGCGTTACATTACATACATTACATACAAATTTATGTACAAAAAACAAGCCGGTCCTGAGTGCTACTATATCAGAGTGTAAGCTAACATTAGCAGCTCTGTCTCCATTCCAACAACAGCCAAACTCACTATCAGACACAGTGTTGCGTTCACATTGGTTAGTCCTCACCCTAAAAGCCTTTTAAAGTAAATACAAACAAGAAAGCACAAATGTAACTTCTCGCATGTCTAAAGCTGCCACTGTTATCATTGTATTTTGCACGTGTGTCGTGCGAGAATGGAAGACATAGTAGCAGAAACGAAAGTGGGTGAGGCTTAGCGAAGGGTCGGTTACAGCATTATGAAAAAATATATATATTACCCCTGATCCATCTGCCGCCTCTTCCCTCTCAGGTGTAACTGCATCGGTCACACCCTGCAGTCTGGCGGCCGCGGCCTCTTCTCCCGCCGCGGGGGCAGAGCTGAACCGGCCGCATCCGTCGGCGGTTCCCGCCCCGGTACTCACAGAGACCAAGTGACGCCAGGTCCCGCGGAGAACCAGCTGGGAGGCCACGGCACTGTGAGGCAGTGAGACGGGAAAGAAGCGGAGGAAGACAGGAGAGGAAGAGGATCAACCCCCCCCCCCCCACACACACACACACACACACACACACACACACACACACACACACCTCCATCTCTTCTTCTTCGTTTCTCCCTCTCCTCACTGCGTTTCCACTTGGATGTGCCGGCCCAGCAAGTTCCCCGCCCTGCTCCCGTGAGAGCAGAGGACTTTACCTCCACCCCACCGACTCAAGCCACACAGCGCCATACTGGTGCCGTGTAGGATTCCTCTGGCCACAGCAACAGCCCGACTACGGACTCTCACCGAGTATGCTTGTGTGGCCGACTGCGATTGGCTGCTTAGATGATGAATGGGCAGTAATTGGTGGTTGACGGTGGGGCCGGTGGTATCATATTATTCAGTGTCGGTCAACATCAACTTCCCTCTCGAATCTGGTCTTTCCTGCGCCACTTTATTTAGCTTTTTTTTCCAAATTAGTTTTGACTGTTGACAACTGGATTGTTTTATTTTGTATTATTACTGTTAATGTTAAAGGTGGTATGTGTAACTTTGAAAAATCAAATGCATCATTGTCAATTTGATATTGCTACTTTGGTATGATTACTGTAAATAAACGAGGTCTTCTTAGCAATCCTTTCTTTACACTAATCTCACCAATGTAGCAAACCAATGTGACAATTCATGTTGCCCATGTTAAAATGCTACATGTAGCACCTTTAATGGGCTCGTCTGTCTATTTGTTTGTGCTTTAAGAAGTGCTTTAAAAGTACCATACGACTGTTGGAAGACGTGGAAACATGAGTAAGCGCTTTGTGTATTTTTGCACAGAGAGTCAGATATGTTCTCAGACACAGATTAGCCGCCATCCACTTAAGTTAATCAGAGAGTAGAGATTGTAAAACTTTATAGAAAATGATAATAATAATAATAATAACCCAGAGTGGATGTCAGAGCATTGTGCGACTTTATTGTCTGAAAGATTCTGATCTGTTTATTATTTTCTATAAGACTTTTTTTATAACAATCACCCTTTAAGGGACACACATACCAGGAAGCATGCAGCAGGTGTAGGATAGTTTAGGATAGAGGTATTTACTGGGGGGGGAAAAAAAAACTGCCTCCAGTTGAGAATGTTGGCTACACGTTAGATGCCATTCAAACCAACGAGCAGTGCTGTGCAGTTTCAGAGCGGCTAACGAATCCAAGATGGTGAAGCTGTCGCCTGCCGCCGTTCCTCTAACCCCCCCGCCCCCAAAGAAGCCATGACCTCACCCTTATTGCATTGTCAAGCTGTACCCAGTTCAGAAGTGCTCAGGGAAAACTGCAGCTGCACTGTGAGCTGGAGAATACTGATTTCCCGGTTTAGGTTGTTCCGTCTGTGTTCTTTGTTTTGATCCAGGTATTGTGGCAACACAGTTAATGGTACAGCGCCATGTCCTTATTGCAATGGTGTAGTGACGCGTGACTTGGAGACTCAGACATGGGCTCCGACTGTTCCACAGAGGACTTTTGAGGACGCAATCCGCAACCGCGGAACAGCTGGGCTCTGTGCTTGACAGAATTGGACTGACAACAATACCTTGGATAGGTTAGGTCTTGCCGTATCCGATGATCCCCCGCCTTTATCACCCCGCAGCAGACTGCTATCGTGACCAAAATCTGAGTATCTTGGTTTTCACGATCGAGTGAAATGGTCCCAACACACGTGAGCAGCAAAGCCAAAATATTTGTGCTTAAAACAAAAAAAAGGCTCCCACGGTCCACTACCAGCGCCCAGTTTTAACGCAGAGTTCTGAAAAATCCAACGCGTCCGTGACAACGGCTCATTCTTTGTCGATTTCAAAACGGGATACTGAGCCTGGAGTCCCGGTTTTATTTGCTAATCTAATCTTGATTTGACGGACTGACTTTGTTTTCATTCGTCCTTGATGACTCTTGACGTAACTTCGGTAGCTTTGGATCGTGTCACCAGTTCTTGCGATGTCCTTCCAGACGTAACTCAGAGAGCAGAACTCTACAGTGTGGGGTGCTCACTCACACATATCAGATTGTCACGATGCAATTCTTCCGATCCCTTTATTGTGAATTGTAGCCAAAGACCGGCGCTGGGTACGAAGACAATTTGGTTCATTCTACTCGATGAATTAGTTACAACAGAACTAGTCGGATGTGAAGCCGTTTGAGACACAAGTGGACTAAAAACTAAGGGCTGAACTCCAGCTGCAAATTCATCTGGAGGGAAATTTATTCCTCATTTGATCCCTTCCTAATCTTTTGCCATTTGCCTTCTTTTTATTATCTACACGGAGTGCTGCTGAAAAGTATCAACATATTATTCATATAGCTTGTTTTGATCCGTACGGCATGTCAGGGAGGGTGAGACCACAGCTGGATGAAAGTCAAATTACGGCAAAGATGAACACTCGCCCAAGCGTTCTGGAATTCCCCTTTGGCATGCTGTGCGTATTAAGTTGCACCTATTTGGCACTGACGTTGACAAAAACCAAACCAACAAGACATTTGTGAACGCTATCCGGTCTAAAAGCTGTCTCTCCGTCCTCGCTATGTTCTCTGTTCTTTGACAGCGGCACCTTCTTCCTTCGTAAGCTCTGCAAGGACAATGGTGTCCTGGACAGTGTGTTTGTTCCGCCCTCAATGCACAACAACTTTCTTACCCCATCTGCAGCTTTCAGCCCCCAAGCCCATCGGCTCCTACTGAGGACGTAAATCTTACAAAATACATAGTTGACTAGAGACGGAACCCAATGTCACGGAAATCTGCTGTTCTTGTTCAACAATTTTGGTAGACTTAGTTGTGTAAGAAAAGGCCTGTTAGCCTGATTTATTTAGTTGTTTTATATGTGCAGTCATAGAGAAAGATAACTCTTTAGTGTTTTTACTGATTTACATCACCCACATGCAGCGTCTCCTACTGTATGACACCGTTCCTCTCAGAAATATATATTAATTATGACGTTTTTACAGCGGGGTCTTGCGTTTTTCTCTACTAAGTCAATCCATGTAGTCATCCACGTGTTACTGAGGGGAACTTTCAACCATGTAAGGGCTTTATTCCTTAATCTGATTATTCACTGTAACCATGTATACATCCCCATTGATTGCTATGCATTTTTTAAAACATGTTTAAGTGTCGTCAATGCTTTTACTTGGAAGTGGGATCAGGGAACACCCACAGTTCAAAAAAAGGTTTGGGGAATGAAAAAGTGCAAGACACCAACTCCCCCCCACCAGATCTTACACTATTTCAACTTAACATTGAATTATCATTATTATTGCACGAGCTACATCATAAAAGCGGCGTACCAGCTTTTGTCTCCGGCACAAAAGATGTCAACGAGTCGTCAGCCGACACTAAGAATCATTAATTGTGATGTTGTCCGCTTCAGGATGGACATTTGGGTTTATGAATGTATTGTGAGGCAGGCAGAAGGGTTCAGGTTCATGCTGCTCTGTGGTTTTATGTCTGCTGTTCAAAAGACAAAAACAAAAAAAAAGTTTTCTGAATGAACCTTTTCATTTTCAAGATGCAACTGTAAATAAAGTGGGTACGGAAAGCATTCAGACCCCTTTAAATTTTCCACTCTTTCATTGCAGCCATTTGCTAAAATCAAAAAAGTTCATTTTATTTCTCATTAATATACACTCAGCACCCCATCTTGACAGAAATGTAGAAATGTTTGCAAATTTATTAAAAAAGAAAAACTGAAATATCACATGGTCATAAGTATTCAGACCCTTTGCTCAGTATTGAGTAGAAGCACCCTTTTGAGCTAGTACAGCCATGAGTCTTCTTGGGAATGATGCAACAAGTTTTTCACACCTGGATTTGGGGATCCTCTGCCATTCTTCCTTGCAGATCCTCTCCAGTTCCGTCAGGTTGGATGGTGAACGTTGGACAGCCATTTTCAGGTCTCTCCAGCGATGCTCAATTGGGTTTAGGTCAGGGCTCTGGCTGGGCCAGTCAAGAAAGGTCACAGAGTTGTTCCGAAGCCACTCCTTTGTTATTTTAGCTGTGTGCTTAGGGTCATTGTCTTGTTGGAAGGTGAACCTTCGGCCCAGTCTGAGGTCCAGAGCACTCTGGAAGAGGTTTTCTCTGTACTTGGCCGCATTCATCTTTCCTTCAATTGCAACCAGTCGTCCTGTCCCTGCAGCTGAAAAACACCCCCATAGCATGATGCTGCCACCACCATCATGTTTCACTGTTGGGATTGTATTGGGCAGGTGATGAGCAGTGCCTGGTTTTCTCCACACATACCGCTTAGAATTAACGGCAAAAAGTTCAATCTTGGTCTCATCAGACCAGAGAATCTTATTTCTCATAGTCTGGGAGTCCATGTGTTTTTTGGCAAACTCTATGCGGGCTTTCATACGTCTTGCACTGAGGAGAGGCTTCCGTCGGGCCACTCTGCCATAAAGCCCCGACTGGTGGAGGGCTGCAGTGATAGTTGACTTTGTGGAACTTTCTCCCATCTCCCTACTGCATCTCTGGAGCTCAGCCACAGTGATCTTTGGGTTCTTCTTTACCTCTCTCACCAAGGCTCTTCTTCCACGATTGCACGGTTTGGCTGGACGGCCAGGTCTAGGAAGAGTTCTGGTCGTCCCAAACTTCTTCCATTTAAGGATTATGGAGGCCACTGTGCTCTTAGGAACCTTGAGTGCTGCAGAAATTCTTTTGTAACCTTGGCCAGATCTGTGCCTTGCCACAATTCTGTCTCTGAGCTCCTTGGGTAGTTCCTTCGACCTCATGATTCTCATTTGCTCTGACATGCACTGTGAGCTGTAAGGTCTTATATAGACAGGTGTGTGCCTTTCCTAATCAAGTCCAATCAGTTTAATTAAACACAGCTGGACTCCAATGAAGGAGTAGAACCATCTCGAGGAGGATCAGAAGAAATGGACAGCATGTGAGTTAAATATGAGTGTCACAGCAAAGGGTCTGAATACTTATGACCATGTGATATTTCAGTTTTTCTTTTTTAATAAATTTGCACAAATTTCTACATTTCTGTTTTTTTCTGTCAAGATGGGGTGCTGAGTGTACATTAATGAGAAATAAATGAACTTTTTTGATTTTAGCAAATGGCTGCAATGAAACAAAGAGTGAAAAATTTAAAGGGGTCTGAATACTTTCCGTACCCACTGTAGATTGTGAATATGAATGATCATTTTCAAGATAATATTTACAAATGTTTTGCTGTCCGGGCATGTGAGACTGAATGAATGAGTGAGTGAGCGAGCGAGTGTGTGGAGGGAAGTTGATTGTATTCTCTATGGAATGTTTAATGTAAAAAAGCAAAAAACAAAAAAAGCTAAAATCCCCTTTACTCCCCACTGCAGTCTGCTGTCACATGTAAACTGCTACACAGTGCAGGTCAACGCCATCAGTGTTCCACCGCCGCGTCAGTGTCAGTCCAACTAAAAGTGAAAGCATCGTTAACTGAACTCAGGCTTATGTTTTTTTGCCATTCTAAAGGAAGAAATCCAAAGCTGTGACCTTCTCAGAAACACACTGTTAAGGACGAGGTGCGGGCTACGACCCACTCTCGTCCGCCCTTTGAGCTCTCGCTCTTATTCTTTTCACGTCGTCACTAAAGATGAAAATGCAAGCATGTCAAAAAAAAAGTGCTCCAAGAATTCAACTTCACAATGAGTGTTTGCATAATCGTGTATATGCCCTTGTATGATGTTAGTATCTCTGTATTATATAAAGACGTGCACAGGTTGAGATGTCTTGAGTCCACAAAAAGCGTTTTACTCAGTAGAGTTTTAGATTCTACAAACAGCTTCCATAGGCGAAAAATTATCAAATTGATATTGCAACCTATAGCCAGCTGGCATGCATGGCATGGGATGCTGCTATATATACATATATTTATCCCAAAAAGGCAATGGCCAGCCCTTTCATCACTGTTTCCAGGAAACATGTAGCCATTGGCTACATAATTAGCGGTGGAAGTCATGTCCAATTTGACTCTATTATATCTTTGCTATGTTGGCTAAGTTCTACATCTACATGCAAGTGGTTCCATATGAATTATTGCCAAACGCTTTAGGAGTCACAATATTAGCATTGTGGACTGAAAAAGTTGCTCGGTGAGTCAGCGTTAGCAAAATGCTGCCAAGCTAGCAGCTGTGCCTCAGTCTGCCACCTCGAGTTCTAACAACCAATGAGAGCAGCTCTGCCTCTCACAATTGTTTGTAGGACTAAAACTTTATAGGAGCTGCTTTTTTTGCGACCCGGTGTCTCCCTGTGGGCGTCCTCGTCCAGCCGACCTACAAGGTTAGCTGGCTGTATTGTATTTACTCTCTGCATGTGACCACCACAAAACTCCCATCCTGTGCAGGCTCCGTCACGCCGATGACACCCTCATATTTCTCAAAGCGGGCACCGCCTGCCGCACTTATTGTGCTGTTATGATGATGATGATGATGATGATGATGATGATGATGATGATGATGACTTTCTGTTAATGGGGCTTGTATATCAGATGCCTTCGACAATCATGTGCACATATCAGAGTTACCATGACGACACAGGCCAGAGCGACTGTTTGTGTTTCGTTTGTCTTTCTCCTGGAATAAATTCTGAATGATCGTAATATGACTGTGTGTGTGTGTGTGTGTGTGTGTGTGTGTGTGTGTGTGTGTGTGTGTGTGTGTGTGGTGGTGGGGGGG